AACCAAGTTTATAATGTCAATAAAGCAGAAAATACCAACAGAATAAGTCATTTCAAACTGTTTTTTGAGGTTAACGTATACATATTTGATTTCTGAAGTGATCCTAGTAACCTAATATCTTTGTTTTTGTCATTATACTTGTTTTTGCAAGTATAAACGATTAAATCAGACCTTTAATAGAATATTTGTTTACATTAATTATTACTTTGATTAAATAACTACAGAAATTATTTTCTTCAACATAGGCCTAAATATTGCATCAGATTGTAAACCTTCCTTAAAACATCTGGATAAAGTTGATTATAGCGTCTCCTAGTGGTGAACTTTTAAATGAGCATATTTAACTTGAGAACTTGTTAACCTTGTTCACACACACACACATACCACACACCCACAAACTCAAAGTAATATAAATATATCTGAAGAAATTTCTTTAAAAGGCAGCAAGAAAAATCCAACATACAGTTCATCCGCTGACCTACTAACCTGTTTATTAACTCAGGAAAATAGAAAAAATCCTGTCTACAAGTACATTATGTCCTTGGCAAACACTTTCACTTCTGCTAAATTGACCTGCAATACAGCATTGCAACAAAGTTTGAATGTTCAGAAAGCCAAACAGTCCTGCTGATCTTTGACGTCTGCAGTTGTTTCAACTCTAGAGCCTAGTCTAGAACAATTGCATGCCTTTGTGGCCTCATTATGCTTATAATGAGGAAATGGATTAGAATTTGTTACAATGTTAAACCTCAAGCAGTCTTTATTGAATAATTAGAGCTATAGTTTGTCCTTTGTCTTAGGTTCTCAGAAAATAGAGGACAAGGACATCAATAATCAGGTCATTCTGTGTGCTGTTCAAGCAGGTGATGGGAGGACATCTGGTACCGGGTCCCAAAATGTTGTGCATTAATCCTGTGTAGTGGTGAGCAACAACATTTTTGAACAATATTTGAAATATCCAAAAACAATTAATCAGATAATAAATTGAAAGCATTCAACCAACAAATCCAGTGTGAAATGCATTTTTTTAAACCATGAGCACAAAGTATTGATTGCTTGTCAAAGAAATATTTAACAGCATATGAATCAATGAATCAAAAGGCATTATTTAATGGCACACTACCAGTCAAAAATTTGGATACATCTGACTAAATTTATACAGTATTTCTCATTATTTTAACAACCTTTTGATAAAAAGCTATGCTCATATGCTTGAAGCTAAATATATCGTTTTGAGATAAATATTATAATATATATTTTGCAACATACACAATTTTTTTTTTTTTAAATTGCATAATATATATTTTTTTCATTTATTGTAATTCATTATTGGTAACACAAAAATAACTAAAATTAGTTAATGCATAACATTACATTTGCTAAATATTTATTCATCTTTGTTCTAACAAAAGTTCATAAAAACACAATTGTTAATTGCTAGTTCGTGTCTATTAAAATATTAATAGATGCAACTTTTGATTTTAATAATGTAGATGTAGATGTTTAAATTAACTACGATTAATAAATGCATCAAATGTGTAAGTTAACAAATGTAACCTTACCAGATTTTTTTATATATTTGTTTTATTTATTTGTTTATTTTTTGATGCCTTGCATACAAGACATACATTGCTTTTTAGGATTATGATTCTATTTATTGACAAAATGTAATTATTATTGTTATAATTATTCTTTTTAAACCGCACAATTTTTGTCCAAAAAGTCTTGACTCTTTACGACACCAAACTCAGCTTAGAATGAACAATGCAACATTCACATGGCCTGACTGGATGTTTTGCATTAGCACGCTTTTTAAACTGTAATTTTCATTTTTGAAGTACACCTATATTGTAGACAGACCTGTCTGTACTGCACAACTTGCCTCATCATGAGTGACCTAAATATGAGTATTTTATATCCGTCTCCTATGCTAATGTTCCACAACACTTTATGGTTGTCATTTTCTTAAGCATACATATGACTATGTAATTACATGAGTAAATGCTGAGTAATAACATACATTGTTCTCACTTTCTCTGTAATTTAGCAACATGATGCTGTAAGTAGGCCAAGACCAAGATGTTGTTACCTACTGCACCTTCTTTCCTGGCTTGCAGGACGTGTTGTATGGATGGTCTTGGATGGACTAGCATTTATGAATTTCATAACATTGGGATGAACTTGACGGCATCTGTGGAGAAATATGATAAATTGTTAGCTTGCTTATTAGCCAGTTAGCATTAGCTAGTGGTTTACACAATAACAGATTAAGTCTAATCCTTTAAAGTCAACCTGATCCTGTGTGATATGACTATAATCCTCAAAATCATCATAGACAGAGATTATATACATCTCGACCAGGTAAAATGCACAAATCTCAGTATTAGATATAAAATACAATGGCATCTGCCAACAACTGATGCTTTATCAGAACTAACTTGACTTTTCTGAGCAGAAATGAATTTTAATGAACTAATTTTTAGTGGATACATGTCTGTTTGCCCAGGTGTAGTTCATCTTCTACTAATGTTTGACAACCAGAAGTGAGCAAATACTTTCATTTTGAAATACTTTAATTTTAAAGTTGAAATACATGAACTCAAAAGAAATGCTCTATCACTTCTCATATGGTCCATTATACCCATTATATGCCACTATATAAATAACCAAGGATTATATAATGGTCTACTTGCACATAATATCCTGATGATTTCAAAATATCAAGACGTTTTTCCAATATTTTTTAAAGGTCCCGAGATTTTGAATATGCTACTTACCCAGAATGTCCAAGAATCAAAACTAAAAACAAACTAAAATTGGGTGAATCATTTATTCAAAGTGATATGTAATTTAAAAGAACATAACGGAGATTAAGAGTTACATCAAGTCAAGACACTTGCAATATTTATTTAGTTCTGTTCTAATAAAAATGCAGAAGATCAAAAATTTAAATAATAAAAACAATGGATTTAAAAGCTTAACTTTTTTCACGAAATTAAAAAAAGTGGAAAAAAGTCAAACGCAGTTTCTTAAACCCTTTTTATATATTTGGCCCCAAACAACTGGCCTTTTTCTGACCGATAAATGGCTGAAATTTCATTATGCTTTCTAATAATATATTAATATTTATCTACACACACATATAATTATTTAAACACTAAAATAAACGTCACACTTTATTTACACTATTCAAGAACACACCTCTGTACTGGTTTCGATTCAGTCGATTTGGCCCAGTCCCACTGAATAGTGGGTTTAAAAATTGTACCAACCCCTAAAAGAGTAGATATGTGCTTAACTGTCCAGTAAAACTGAGCTATTTCTATGTCTCTGATTATTTTATACCCATTAAGGTGGGATGTACCTCTAAAGTGCATCTCTGTACATTTCTATTTACAGTAATACATACTATATATAACAGCCAAACTAGACAGAGGTCATGTAAGTTGAGTGTTGAAATGGCCATGTTTCTCAGATTGGCTTGTACAGCAGGGTTGTGACATATTTCTTCTTATACCGATGTGTGGCACTCAGGACCATAACGCCGTCCTGTCAGAAAGCCGGAGGAGATACAGTCATCAGAACAGACTTGAAATCAATAGCAGTTCATCTCACAGAGCTCAAAGTTGGTTTCTTACCTTAATGGACAGAGCATACAGGTGATTAAGCATGACGTGATTGGGCTCAGGGAGCAAAGCTGGATCACACTGTGAGGAAACAAGAGCGTATTTCCATTAGCAAAAACTCATTTCGATTGACAGTCTATTTTGGGCCTTACAATGTAATTATATAAAGTGTACAAATAAAATAATTATTCTATTTAGATCAAAGCTCACAATCTGGGTGTCTCTGTCCCCAAAAGAGGTCATGTGGCCAACTTTATTTTTAGATATTTTCATTTATACTCATTTAAAATTGTAGTTTACTATGGGATTTTTTTTTTTTTTTTTGGCAAGTTAAACTTATTTTTTCATTTCAATTTTCCATGACGTTTTCAATTATTAAAATTGAAACCAATTTGGTAGCATTTAATTGTGATCAATTAGGAACCAGTTGACCAATTCACCAAAAACACTCAAAAGAATGACTCATTCACAAATCAGGCATCACTATGTCTTGCAAGAAAGTTTTACTCTATAAAAGAGCAATATTATTTAATAGAGCAATAGATTACAATAACAGTAAATAATAGATTATATATTTTAGAGCAGAGCAGAACTATATGAGTTCATAACATTATAGATTATATTGTTGTATAGATTCTAAAGTGAAGTGCAATAGTGTTTATTTATTTATTTTCATTATATATTATATTATTATTAGTGCTGTCAAATGAACTAATTAATCGCACATTTTTCTGAAATTAATCGCCATTAATCCCACCTAACGTTAAAGCTTTTAAATATACTTTTAAATTGCAATAATTTCACATTCAATCTTCAAATTAAATGTACAAACAACATAAAGACAGTATATTTTTAATATTTGTTTAATGGCATCTTTTAATGACTGAAGGCCAGTATCACTGACACCAATACTACTGATATCTCTATAAAATTGTTTTTCCCCTAATATTTAACCATTGACTATAGCCATTCAACATTACAGTATAATTGAGAGCTATCAATTTTAACATTTATTAGACTTAAAAAATATAACTTCTAATTTAAGTGAACTTAAAACAATCTTCACATAAACCCATTATAATAAATGTCATATTTACCTGTGCCCTTCAGTAGAAATATACAGAAATTGAAATTGAAGTTATCAAACACTAAATTAAATATAGATTAATCCTTAAAGCTATAAAAGTTATTGATTTTCTCTTTTTTTCTTTGATTAATAGACATCACAGCAGCTGGTTATTAGGTTGTTCTGGCTGCTATTTCTTTAAGAGCTGCCGCTGCTGAACGTGACGCGGATCTGACACGCATCGTATTTTCTCTCAACTCTCTTCACCTTTTCTGGTCTTAAAGTCTCTATTAATGAGCTGACGAGTT